AATTTTAAATTTAAAGCGTTTAATTTAACGGGATATCAAACAGATAGGAGAATGAAGATAACTGACATATCCTAAATAATTTATCTTAATAATAATAAGATTCTTACTAATTATTTTTATATATTGGCACTATATCCATATATATATATATATATATATATGGATATATCCATATATCCATATATATATCCATATATCCATATATATATATATATAATATATATATATATATATATATATATATATATATATATATATATATATATATATATATATATCCATATATATATATATATATTATATATATATATATATAATATATATATATATATATATATATATATATATATATATATATATATATATATTCTACGAATATTATAAAAAATATTTTTTTTTGCTTATTTCTCGGAAAAAGTATACAAAGTTAGAATTTATCTAACTTTTGAACCGTTATATATTCTTGATGAAAGTTCAATTATTAAAAACTTTATTTTTCATGAGTTTTCGTAGAACGAAGCAATCAAGCTTGTCAAATACAATAAAACAACACGAGGTAAAACTCTTTTTTTTTCCTAATTAGCGATACAATCCTCCTCGAAGGTTGAAGCGGCAGTGGCCCCGAGATCTTTTGTAGTATATATCTTGGAGTTCTGGCAATGGCCAGATTCACCACTCAAGACATGAGTATATCTGGCTAAAGCGTTCTCTCTCAAATTCCACTGGCTTTAGCACCAGTGACGCGGTTGAGAGAGTAGCGCAGGGATCTTGTGGAATCGTGGTTTTCCTTCTATAGTTGAAGGGAGAAGCCTGACCTGGAGTTCCCTGCCCTGGGATCCCTGCATACTTATCTTTAGGTTATTTTATTTTTTATTGTACATAGTTTTGGATTATTATTTTACTTTTATAATTTCTGTACGTATGGTGTAAATGTGTTCATATATCACTATAATTATTGCCCACGTGACAGATTATTATATTTCTAAATAAAACTAAATGAAAAATAAATAAAATATTAGCGATAATTGAGAGCAGATATCTCGGAAACTAAGTGAGCTAGCAAAATAAGATAGATAATCGATCATAGTGCAAATTATATCAACCTTAATTTTTTATGGAATGTCTTTATTGATGTGATGGATAGTTGTCCTGAAATAAACGAAAATCCGAAAAAAGTGACCTAAGCGTCCTCCCACATTTAGCTCACCACCAGGTGTGGGGACTTTTATTATGTTTACCTCGTTGTTAGTTCAAACGACCTTTTCATACGACCAAATCATAAATTGAGTCCCCGCCATTTCCTTCTGTATTCCCTTTTCGGGCATTCCTTGACTATATGGAAATATCTTTTGGAAATCTTGGTTCATTTATGAAGGATTTTAATAACAAAAACATTCAGTGCATGTTTAAGTTAGAATTAAAAATTTAACCAAAAAGTATTTTATCAAATAAATATTTTCCCATTCATATATACGATATATTTTTTTTGTATTTATTTATATGATATTTACAACTGTATACAAAAAATACATCTAGTAAATTCGCACATGGATATAATGACATGAAACACATGTTGAGAAACTACCCATTGGTAGCACTCTAATAATATGTCTATATTAGGAGATCACGTGGCCATCTCCTTTTCAGACGCCTCAGAGGGTTATCAGTAATTGAATAGGAAACAAGGTTAGAAACAAGAGGGTTGGGATGGGTATGAAGTTTATTATGGAAGGATTCGGCCAAATCGGAAACATATGGAACATTGAGGTCTTTATGGATTATTTTATTTGTGACAAAGTAAGGAGCATTGAGGATTATATATACGATATGAAATTGGAATTAGATGTTATTCGGTGAGAAAACAATTTATTCGAAGCCGGATGTCAAAGGTTTGTTCCTTTCGTTTATGCTACTTTGATCTCTATAATCGGATATTCACTTTTCCACTTTCATTTAAAACCTTGTGTTAGAATTCCCTTTGTTTCTCCTGGTATTTAAATTGGACAATTTGATACTGGTAGTAGTCTCGAACATATACAATTATTTTTTAATTGTTGTACAAATTGATTTCTTCCTAACAAAAATTTGGGTCATACATGTGTATATGAATCAAAGTGTATATTTTCTTGTTCTAAATCCAAATTGGCTTTAATTTTTTTTTAAGTGATACTTAAAAATATTTTATAAATATACCAAGGTGTAGATCGAATTTGTGTTGGAAAAATTTGTAAGTCATTTTTAACTGAAATTTCACATATTTGACTCAGGTCTTATTTTTATTTAACATTTCTTTTTCGAACGTTTTTAGGTGGAATAGCCGTTTTCATAAGTATAATGGGGCTTAAGTAAATTCGTAAAATAAACTCATTAATGTTATATGTAATATAAATTATACCTTGATATTTTGTATATATTTTATTTTTATAAATTAATTGATTTTTCTAAAATTGACGAAGGGTATAGTCGGTGTCCAAATTATTCCTAAAGCAGTTATAAAATTGATAAAATAAAAATATTACGATTGTTGGCGACAGGCGGTAATTTAAAATATTAAAACCAATTTTTACTAAGATCAAAGTTTTAGTAAAAAAACATCATATTTTTGAAAATCTAAATCGTAAAACATTATCATATAAATAAATTATAAAATATTATCAAGAGTCAAAAGTACTGTCTGCCCCATACGGAGCTTCACTTATATAAACTACATGTTTTTCAAAACAAATACCTAAGAATCATCAACAATTATCCGTATTATACCAAAGTGGAATGATGGGGAAAAGTCATATTAAATAACGGTCAATATACTGTAGATCAAAATGAATTTTATGTCAATAATACATTGAGCTTTATTTCACCCTGAAAAACCGAAAGGACTTATTTACCAACCCAGTATATTAAATTTTATCATTTACTGGAACCAACTTTGACTTTTATTACACATTCAAATATAAAAGGAATCTCCTACGTTTACTTAGTAATGACTGACACTTTAAAGAATGAAAATTATAAACATTAAGTTTTCTGATTTGATCCTGCAGTCTGTGAGTGTAGATGATCCATATGTAGCCATCGTCTTGTTTAAAGACTAGTTTGAATAATTTATTTATACGACAGTACCATGTGAGTTAAATTATCAAAGAAATGTGTTATTGCTTGTTTTTTTTAAGATGTGATGTTAATATTTTTTTTTTATTATTTTAATGGAATTTACAACTGTATTACATAGAGAATACAGCTGAAAAGAAGATCCCGAGGCCATCTTCTTTTCAGACGCCTCGGAGGGTTATCAGGGATCGAGGAGGAAGAAGATTTGAAACGAAAGGATTCGGATGGTTCTGCAGTTTGTAATGGAAGGAAAGGTATCTGGATTGGGCCAGATCGGAAACATATGGAACATTAAGGTCTTTATGGATGATTTTATTTGTGACAAAGTAAGGAGCGTTGAAGATTTTACGAAGGATTTTGGATTGTAAGGATTGGATACGAGAGGAATTCGATGGTTTAGTGGAGCCCCAAAGCTCAATTCCGTAAGTCCAAATAGATCTTATTATTGTCATATATACGAGTCGTTTATAATTGATTGAAAGCTTAGATCGTTTGTCTAGTAAGTGCTGCAGTAGTCGAAAACGTCGGGCGGTTTCTAGTCGTTTCAGTCTGGTATGGGGGTTCCAAGTGAGTCGTTTGTCAAGATGGAGTCCTAAGTAGCGGATTTGCTCAACAGGAATAAGTGGAGTATTATTGAAGGATACTGTAGGACAAGAGGTCATAGGTTTACGACGGAGGGTAAAGGTGATTTGATGGGATTTGTTGGAATTTATTTGAAGTTAATATTAAATCAGTTTATCTTAAACCCTACTGGTCGTAGCAGTATTTTTTGTTTAATTTTTAAGATCTGGTGAACGAATACTTGACCTTCACAGAAGGATTCTTCACAGGAGTGCTTAAATTTACTTATGTTGTGTACGCTGTAGATTCTACAATTGGTCTGCTAAAATAATGGCTGCATACGTTTCAAACCTCTAATTGCTCAGAATGCTGTAAACAACGGTATACGTTTCTGTTCGCAGGCTGCATTGTTTGCACCGATGTTTTGTTTTGAGACAAAGCTTGTTGTGGTTCTATCGGAGGGTGAGCGGCGGGGTGGAACGCTATTTCTGTAAGGGAGCGTGGAAAATATATTTCCTGTTTTCCATCAAGTTATAAAAACCTTTCGGTTCTTCATTTAAATTCAAGCATTTGGCAAAACAAGTTTTATTTTCTGTAATTTCTCACGGGGTTTTTACCAATTATGTCTCTGTTTTACAGGCTATATGGTATGTAAAATATATTAAACTAGAACACTAGTCTTATGGTACAAAATAGTGAAGAACTCCCACATTAGATAGTTATCCTTTTCTCTAATGAATAGTAACTGACATTAGCTAAACATGTATATTAGTATATCCTCGTTTTTTTGTAAAATTTCACGAAGTAAACTTGTGGTCGATTTTTATTTGAAGGTACTTAGTTGTTAAAAAAGTTGAAAATGTCAAACCTCATTTTCTAAAGAAATTGTCCTTAGAGGCTTTTGCAGTTTAGCTGTCGATATGTTACTAATTTGATACATGTTATGAATCGTATGTTTGACCACAATTATAGACTCAATTTCGGTACATATGTATATATTGTACAGACATTTCCTTTGACATATAAAAAAATTAAATCATTAATGCAAGTATCAAATTATAACTTAAGCCTAGAATATTATACCAAAGGTGGAAAATGAAAAAAAAAAATTAATAAAATATACGGAAATTTATTGTGTAATATCACCAAAAATCACATGTGGGGAGTTGGATGGGATTAAACATTATTTCGGGATGGTTTAGTAGTAATAGGCACCAACACCATATGGGTAAGCAGCATATCCGGCAGAGTAGGCGACTGGGGCAGCATATCCGGAGTAAGCGTATGGGTATCCACCAAGAAGGACTTGTTTCTTAGCTCTGGTAAGTTCTTCAGGGGCTGGCATGGCGAAGACGCAGGCGATGGCCAAAGCGAAGATGAACTAAAAGAAGGAGAGAAAAAGCAGCTTTAATTAAAATATTAAGAAACACTTTGACTAACCAGTGATTTCTTAAAAATTGAAAACGTAAATAAAAAAATTACATTCTTAATACTATATTACTATATATTTTATAACTATATTCGGTCTATCTTAAATGTATGTCTTTATGATGTGGTATAACTTTGTCCGAAACATTTATAAATTATTATACTTTATTTATTTTTAGTGTATAACACAATTCTAAAAAAAATCTCAATTAAAATAAACAACGTTAATATATAATCAGTCTACGAAATTCAATAAACATTAACTTTACTGATTTAGAATCGATAAAGACGATATTTTTCTATTTAGTAAAAAATGTAATTACCTGTCAAAAGTTTATAATTAAATTTACTTTGGACTGTATACTATACAGTATAAACTATACAGACCATAACATACCACAATAATTTTTTTTTCTGGGAAGTTGTATGATATTCTTAGTTATTTGGCAATGATTACTTCCAATTAGAAACAATTGAATATATTTGTTGTATTATCAAAATTTCATGTTTACAGGTTAACGTTTCGGGATATTTACTCCTACCTTCAGAACCACAATCCCAATGATTTTGTGGATACAAAGCTTAAACATAATGTGCTCCATCGTCAGTTTCTAATTCATGTTATAATAATCTAGGTATACAACATCTAGAGCAACATCTTGCTTTTAGACTAGCAGACACCCAATTATTAGTCTAAAAGCAAGATGTTCCTCTAGATGTTATATACCTCTAGATGTTATATACCTCTAGATTATTATAACATGAATTAACTGACGATGGAGCACATTATTTTTAATCCTTGTATCCACAAGATCATTGGGATTGTGATTCTGAAGATGGGAGTAAATATCCCGAAACCTAAACTTGTAAACATGCAATTTTGATAATACAACAAATATATTCAATTGTCACAATAATTTATTTATATATTTTTATCGTAATCGAAAAATTAAAGTAACTGTTATTAGAACACTATAATCATCAAAATCTTCGGAACCGTTTTTTTGCTACGATTAACGTGAAAAAAGGCTTCTTTGTTATGAGCAGTGCACAATTTGGTACACAGGCGTCAGAGACCGAAACTCTGCAAAAAAGGTTCAGTAATATTGATCCTCGCGTTCAAGATATAATCATGACACAAAGATTCATAGACAGACTGACAGACCAATGATCGGAAATACTTTTTTTTTTTTTTTTTAACACAGTGGATGTAAAACATTGAAAACCGCACATCGAAAAAAATGGTCTGCTTACGTTTCTGTTCTTGTTGTGGTTGGAGAGCGAAAATTAAGTTTGACATTTATTCTAAAAATAGATAAATCTCAATTTAAAAAAAAACTATTATAAAGTTGTTTGATAATTTAAATTTTAAAATAATAAAAATAAAAATCGTTAGTGTGAATTTATAATTTCACATTACTTTTTCATTATTTTATGCGATTTTCTGTATTCATAAAAAAAAGGAATGAAGAACAAACTCAATTTATATCTTAGTCGTTATTTATGTTTGAAAGAATTTTTTTTTTATACGTCCATTATTTGGAATTTGATTGCTGATTGCCTTTCCTTTTAAGAAAAAAATTATTTTTTGTTTTAAATCAGTATAATTATTTCTTACGGACTATCCGATCTATAATAATATTTAAAAAATAAAAACTCACAAGGAATTTGATGGAAACCATTGTTGTAAGATATCTGTTCACTAGTGCAGTAGAACTGATGTGGATGCTTCGAAGAGGTCTGGCTTATATACTGGATGGGACCAAGGTCTCTGAGTAGAGACTCATCAAGCATTCTGATAGGTCCGTAGAGCCGCATTAGTCCTCCAATGCACAACTCGAAGATCTCTAGGGGATAAGCTACTGCTTTAAAAAAAGAATTAAAAAGTTTATGGTATATAAATTTTGACTTCATAATTACCCGATGAATAATCGGTTATTACCTCCAGAATATCCGTTTATAATAAATACAGCAGAGAAACAATAGTTCGACTGTTTTAGGTGGTTGGGAATTGCAGTTAGTGAAGAACACAAATAAAAAAAATTATTCGAAGACATCGTTTTAATCTAAGTTCAATCAAGGCAGAAGAAATACTAGATAATGACTAAAAATAAATAATAGAACAAATATTGTAAAACAAAATATATGTTATATGCTAATAAATAAATTCTAAGAAGGGAATAATAAATTAAAATATACAAGTATAGAGTGTAAGTGGTTTGCCGGACAACACATGTTTTTCGCACGCGTTAGCCCGCTCGAAAATCCCGCCCCCTGAAATTTAATATTATGGAGATATTGGATTATGTGAAACAATATGATTTTTTTCACGTTGTATTACATAATCCTTTATCCTCTTATATTAAATGTACTTTTTATCATTATATATTGTTTATATTTTTATTCCTTACTATTTCTTACTTATATATTTTAATTTTTTATTTACTTCTTAGAATTTATTTATTAGCAGATGCCATATATTTTGTTCTAATATCTTTCTACAATAGTTGTCGAACAATTTTTCCTGTTTTTTGTTATCTTGTCTTTCCTGAGCCTTAATATAGGCCTGAAACCAAGCCTTGATTTTATTCAATCAATGAATTGTAGAATAATCAATTAGAAACTGGTCAATCAAAATCCCTTGATAAGATAGCAAGGAGGTTTAGATGAACGGGACGTGTTGAACACCAAGAAGCCTCTAATCAACAATTAATGCGTCAATAATTCTGCAAAAAAAAATTGACCGCTTAATAGGAATAGGCGCTTTTTTCTCCCTGTTAAAGCTATTGAAATCCCAAAAAAAACTCTAAATCTCAAATTAAGGGTGTACAGTGCTATTGTAAAGCCAGTTGTTATATATAACCGTGAGACCTGTACACGAACCAGCGTCCAACAAAAACAGTATTGAAAGATCTGAGAGAAAAATACTCCGCGCGAAATCCTGAGTGACCTGGGATCAGAGTACTAACACATGGAGAAGAAAGACCATAAAAGAGCTGTTTATAGAAATTGATCTATCAATATTTCGTGATATGAAGGCACGGAATGCTTGTTATTTTTCTGTGACAAAACTACTTAGTTCGCGCCTCTTGTCCCGAAACTTAAAAATTAGAATGTATAAAACAATTATCTTGCCTACAGTTCTTTATGGATGCGAAACTTGGCCGCTTACATTAAGGGATGAGCAGCGTCTTAAGGTTTTTGAAAATAAAGTATTGCGTAGAATATTCGGACCGAAGAAGGATGAGTTAACCGGAGAGTTCAGACGGTTACACAACGCCGAATTGCGTGAGCTGTATCCGGGTAATATAATTGAGGTAATTTCATCGTGGCGAATCAAATGGGCTTGTAAAGTTGTTGGGCTTTGTAACGAGAGAATTCCTAAAACGGTAATATTTGCTGTGCCGAATGGTAAGCGTCCGAGGGGTAGACCGAAGCGAAGGTGGGAAGATTGCATTAAAGCCGATCTGAAGGGACTGGGTTTGGACGGCGAACGGTGGAGGGAGGTGTGTAACAAGCAGTTGGTGGTGTCGGCATCGAACCTTCGGGTTCGCTAAGCCTTATTATAATTATTATTATTATGAAGGCATGGAAGTTAAGATGGGCGGGGCATGTAGCTCGGAGCATTCTATCTGTAAGCCGCAATACGACAATGAATGCCTCAATGATAGGCAAAAGACCATGCGGAACGCTAAAAAGTAGGTGGATTGAATAGATCGAATCAACAAAGATGCAATAGAGCTGCATGCAGATAACTGGAAAGAAATAGACCAAGACAGGCAGAGATGGACTCGGTTTTCTAAGGCAAAGAAAAAAACTAAAGTAATTAACGATTGTTGTTTGATAGTAAACTAAATAAAATGTGCTTCAAAAGATAGTAGAGTTTATTTTATTAAAATCTTATGATTCTCATAATTAATTTATTATAATTAACTTCAGGTAACAAAAAAACTGGTATTTTTTTTTTTTATAAATTACACTCATTTCTATCGAAAACAGAATATAAAATCACATACATTCTTTACACATCTCGAGATGAATTTCAGCGTATTTAGTAACAAACCACGACATAATTAATATGTACTTAAAGCTTATTATTATAAACTAATAATTTTTTTTCTAGAAGTGTTCTGTAGCTAAAGGATTTAAAAAAAACGTGAATAATTAATTATTTTTTGATAAACAAAACTCTAGGTGGTTTATGCGCATAATTCTGCTGTAGTCCAAGTAAACTTAATCTTGCTTGCTATGAAGGAATTGTTGATTACCTAAATTGAATATTTAAAAAAAAAAACATTATTGGTTGATTGATGAGTATGTTGTGTGATTTAGCAACTCAACACCGTTTAGCAGTCTCCCAATATTATAGTAGTTATCTCTTCCTGCTAGAGAAAAATGTTACACTTATAAAAACATGAATATTAAATTTCCTGCTTTCAGTGGACAATTGGACCATATCATTTACAAGTATAACGTTTTTGTAGGCCGTGAAGTCTGATATTAACTCTTTTAATTGTTTCCTTTACTTATTGGACAACCCTTATATTATTTACATATTATTATCATAGTTTATTTGTGTTAATCTTATTAATTTTACCACCGCATGGGGATATATTGGAATCCATCATCTGTCCATTATGATTTTGTATAACTATAGGTACGTATTGATAATTTTATTTTAATTTTTACTCACGGTTTGCTTTCTCCGAGCTATGAAAATCAAATTAAATATTGGGATTCAGAATATGTTTCCACTGCGATTAATTCCTGTTTATTTATTTTCAATAGGATTATTTAGTACAAATATTAAATATTTAAATTAATTGAATAAAAAGTGGCCTGTTTTAAAAAAAATTAAGATCGTCAGAGGTTGTATTTTATTTACACCTATTCCAAGGGCAATGCATAAATACCAGAGCAGGTGTATTGCCGTGTAGAACACGAATCATCTGAATTGCAAACATACTCTCCTTTTAAGGATTTAATAACAGAAAAAAAAATGCAATAGTGTTCCCACCGACTTGAGATGTTGAGAAGGAAGCCTTACTCAAACGGGAGGTGTCGAGATAACAATGTGAGTGGGTTTGATGTTTGATGATCCAATCAGACAAAAATGGAAGGCTGGTCGATTCGCGTTGCAGCGGACTAGATTTGATTGCATTACTAGATCATTAAATCTGCATGCATCTGTATGCGTCGTATGCACCATTGTTCCGCCTTGCAAAGGTATTTTTATAGTCTAATCACTTCTTCGTTCATTCAATTTCCTGTTTAACATTTAGTCGGAGATCGGCTACTTCTTATCAACGTAGGCCTCTGTGATGTAGACCTTTGAGATTATTCATTTCAAAGATGAAATATTATGAATCACGTATAGACTCTTATATTAAACAATCCAAAGAATATCAAAAAGGCTTACCAAATAACACAACGGTTTCGTTGATACATATTTAACAACAGCATATATTAGCCGAAATTCCTAAGATATATGGTTCCTCTTTCTTGGAAATCACGTTTCGCCTAAAATATTTTGTCACAATAGCATTGTAAATGAGTATGCAAACAGCAAGGAAGGTTACCTATTGTCAAAAATACTGACGTGAAGTGAGTTCGCTGTACGGAAGTAGTGTAAGAGATTAATATGCATGAGAGAGAAGAGTACCCATGGGCATCCCATCCTATCTTGAGTTCGGTAATTATAGATCCCTTATCCAGCTTCTTTTTAATCTCCTAGTTGATAATGTTATAAGATATACATGTTAATTAAAGGCATGCCTTGTATGAATGTGTTATAATGACCATATAAATTGTAATTTGTAAAACGTTTTATAGTATGTTCGTATGTGGCATTTAGTTATTATCATTTGAAGATCTTTATGTAAAGTAATGTTTGTGACGTTCCATTTAATTTTAATTATAATTATGAAAGTTTTTTACTGAGAAATTTATAGCTTACGTATGGGAATCGTTTTGGATCTCCCATAAATCTGTGAAATGCAGGTCGAAATGTATTTTGAGTAGGTAAATGTAAGTTTACCCTTTCTATGTAGGTCTAAATTTAAGTGTCCTGAAAGAAATGAGTACATTAGTCTTAGTTTGAGATTTTTCGTATGTATGTATATGTATACTTAATTCTTGAATAATGCTCGCTTGTTCCACATATGAGATTTTTATCCAGTATTTTAAAAATTTGAAGAATAAAAATATCTGCATTGACCTTTCTATTAAGACATTCCCATCGCGTACGGACTTAGCTACGATTCGAAGAATGAAAATTATCTACCACAGTTATTCAAGGCTGGGATGCTACTGAAGGTTGAAATTTGATTTATTAACTTCTTTGAATTGTTTTTGTCTGAATGTTAAGCGCTTTGTTTGATTTTATTTGTTCCGTTATTGATGGTTTGCTCATGCCGAAATAATCAATAAAAAGGTTTCACTTCTTGGAAAACAAACTAATACCTAGTATGGTTAATTTGTATAAAGATTTAATGTGCAATATTTGTATTTGTTTTCCAATTTTTATGCAAAAAGAACTTTAACTGATGAAAAAATATTATTATTTTATTGTTTTTTTTTCTTCTTTCATTTCAACAGCTTATATTGTTTTGTTTTTTCGTATTGTTAGTTATATTTTGAATTTAAATTTTTAAAATACCTAAATACAAGAATGTAATATTTCAGAGAATAAATAAAGTCGTAAAACATTTTAAGATTTGAATACATAGATTACATTAATGAATCTATTAAACCGATTTCCGGCTGTATTTTTGTACTATAACAAAAAAAATTATAAGGATACCTACCAGCTAAAAATG